CCATCAAAATACCAATGACATTCTTCACAAAATTAAAAAAAAAACAGTCATTCATTTGGAAGATGCATGGCTGCAGTCCCACTTGTCTCGGCTGAGCAGCAGGTAGGAGAAGCACCATGGCTGCCCAGGCAGGGGCTAGCAGCTATGCAGCCTGTGGGACTGAGACTGAGCCCCATGCAGGCCTCAGTAGTGCTGTGGAATAGCAGCGGCACAAAAAGTTTGGTTAAAGATGTGGGATGAGGGGCTGGGATTGTGGCTCAGCGATAGAGCACTTACCTATCATGTGGGGGCCCTGTGTTTGATCCTCAGCACCACATAAAAATAAATGAATGGAATAAAGGTATTTTGTCCAACTACAACTAAAAAAATAAATATTAAAAAAAAAAAAAGATGTGGGATGAGGCACCACAACAGAACACAATTCTGCCTAGGGATTCTGGAGACGAAAAGCTTTGAACAACAGCTGGTTCCAACCTCCTACTGGAACCAGTCCATGCACTCTAGGCCTCTGGTAGTGTTGCTTGACAGCTGGGACTGCATGGTGGAGATGCCCATCCTGAAGGACATGGCCATGGTGGCCTATGGTGACGCACAGCAATGCAGGATATCCATGAAAAGGTGCTGAACAAGACAGTGGGTGCCCTGATTGTACCACACCAATGGTACAATCTGGTACTAATCCAATCAGAGAAGACCTAGAGAAATTCAAAGCTCTACAATTAACCATGAGGATCAGTGGCAGCCTCAACATCAAGACAGCTGGGACCAAGGTGTCACCAGCAATATGCCTATGGCATCTGTGGAGCAGACCACAGACTCAACCACATGCCATATCTTGAACCTGTACCTGTGGACCATCGGACTACACCAGGTACTGGGGGAAGGCATAGGTCCAGAGTGGTGAGCAGATCCTCAAAGAGGCTTCAGAGCTGCCAGAAGCTGCAGGGAGACCATGAGCAAACCATGGACATCATCTGAATAGGACACACTGGGCTGGCAGCAGCACTACAGGACAAGGCCTTCAGCTTCAATATCCTCTTCAATGACCCCTACCTGTCCTAGGGCATCAAGCAGGCATGATCACCCTGTAGGACCTACTCTTCACTGCACTGCCAACTCAACGAGCACAACCACCACCTCATCAATGACTTCACTAACAAGCCGATGAGACAAGGGGCCTTCCTAGTGATCACAGGCCACGGGTTGCTGGATCTGGCCCAGGCTCTGAAGGAGGGGGCAGATCCACAGCCTGGTGCTAGACGTGCATGTGTCAGAGCTCTTCGGCTTCAGCCAGAGACCCTTGAAGGACACACCCAACCTCATCTACAACCCCCATTTCCTGTGGTACAGTGAGTAGCCATCCATCATGATTTGCAAGGGGGCAGGCCAGGAGATCTAGGGAGCTATCACAGGCTAGATCCATGACAGCCTGAAAAATGGCTTTGACAAGTACCACTGGACAGTCTCCACACACACTGGACCAGAATGGATCTAGCCATGGGGCACCTGAGTTCAAGAGGACTTCCTGCAGGTATACCCAGTAGTCATGAGTGTGGCCCTCACCTGCATCCCAGCCTCAGACAAAGGACTTGTCCTAGCACCATGTCCCTGTCCCATCCCACCCCATGGCTCACCCACCCCATGCCCATTCTCCTGGACAAACTATCAAGCCTTAGGTGGATAGAGACCACACAGGTGATCAGCTATAGCCCATGGAGAGTTCTCCAATCTTAGGCTGGAATGTGCAGAGGTGGTACCGCAGAGACTGGGCTGGGTATGAGCGAGGGGACGAGAGACAGAGCAGCTTCCCTGTGTCTATCATAGTTGTCCGGTAGCATGAGGGGGCTCACTGACCTGTGTCCTTTGCATTCCTCATAGAGCAAAAGAAGTTAGTAGCTAATTCTATCATGAATATTCTTGTCTGTGTACAATTTTTAGGATATTTAGGGAGGACATGTTTGCTTAGATATCTACAAAAAGAAAACCTGAGCAAGTTCAAAGTTCAGCAAGTCAACTGAGATTCTTTTCCTTTTCTGTATTGGCACATGCCAAGAGCGATGAGTGGCTGGCACACTTCTCAAGACAATGGATCCTTTCCATTTTTCTTTTTTATGCCTCACAGTGCATTTTTTTTCCTAACTGCTTGTCTTATTTTTAGAATAATTTAGAAAAACAAAACAAAGGCTGTGTTTTTCCTAATTTGAGAAAATGGACATGGTAGCTAAAAGGAGAGGGAGCGGAGCTTGCTGCCTGATGACTTCTGTCATGGAGAAGGCTGGCCGGAGTGTCCACGACTAGGCATTTGCCATCCTGCTGATGTGGTAAACCAGCAATATTTTGTTTATGACTGTAACCATTTGTATAAATTATTTTGAATAAAAATCCCACAAAGTAAATAAATAACAAAAGATACATAATAGGAAAAAAAAATTCTCAGCAAAGAAAAAAAAAAAGCAATGCTGCAAGCATCACAATACTTGCCTTCAAATAATATTACAGAGCTACAGTAAGAAAAACTGCATGGTCCTGGCATTAAGACAGACATGTAGGCCAATGGAACAGAATACAAGACACAGAGACAAACCCACCCAGATATAGGAGCACCAGAATTATATATTGGAAAAAAAGGTAGCCCTTTTAACAAATGGTACTAGGAAAACTGTAGAAGAATAAAATTAAATTCCTACTTTTTTTTTCCTGGACTCAACTTTTCTTCAATTTATTCTTATTGTTTTATATATGACAGCAGAATGAAATTCAATTCAAATTACACAAATAGGGCCCAATTTTTCAAGCCTCTGGTTATACACAAAGTAAAGTCACACAATTCATGTTTTCATACATGAACTTAGGGTAATGATGTCTATCTCATTCCACCATCTTTCCTACCCGCAGGCCCCTCTCCCTTCCTCTCCCTCCCCTTTGCCTTATGTAAAGTTCGTCTATTCCTCCCACACTGCCCCCCAATCCCCATTATGAATCAGCATCCTTATATCAGAGAAAACATTCGGCATTTTGTTTTTTGGGATTGGCTTACTTTTAGCATTGTATTCCCCAACTCCATCCTTAAATTCCTACTTTTTACCCTGCAAAAAGTCAACCCAAAATGTATCAGAGACCTAAGAATTAGACCAGAAACTTTGCAACCGATAGGCAAAAAAATAAAGAATTAACACTTCCAATATATAGACATAGGCAATGACTTCCTCAGTAGGATTTCTAAACCTCAGTAAATAATAAATAAATGGGAAGGCATCAAATTAAAAAGCCTCTGCATGGCAAAAGTAACAAGAACCTACAGAATGGGAGAAAAATATTGGTAGCTACTTTTCCAACAGAGGGGCTGTCACTCAGTGGTAAAGCACTTGCCTTGCATGTGTGAGGCACTGGGCTCAATGCTCAGCACCACATAAAAATAAATACAGATACTGTGTGTTCATCTACAACTGAAAAAACAGAAATAAACAAAAACCTACACTGTGATTTCACCTCACTCCAGTTAGAATGGCAGTCATCTTGAATATGATAATAATAAATGCTGCAGAGGATGTGGGGGAAAAGGAACTCTTTCACATTGTTGACTATATTATGTCTTTTCATTTATTTAAAATGTAACATAATTCCCTCATATATTTAAAAGATAATAACCAGAATTTCTTGAGATTTCTGCCATCCACAAATGGTTTTAAGAAATGCCTAAGCATGGGGCTGGGGTTGTGGCTCAGTAGTAGAGCGCTTGCCTAGCATGCAGGAGGCACTGGGTTCAACCCCAGCACCACATCAACAATTTAAATAAACAAAATAAAGGTATTGTGTCCATCTACAACTAAAAATAAAAATAAAAATAAATGCCTAAGAACATTAAAGGTTAACTGTCATTTCACAGAAACTTTTATTTCCCACAACATTGCTTTTAGAATTTTCAGAATTTAGGAAATATTTCACAAGTGGACATAGAGTTACTCAAAAAATCAATACATTGTGATTTTTTTTAACCTGAATGAACCATTGACCCTCTATATGTTTATTTTCCTTTGTCAACACTGGATTTTGACATTTAAAAGCATATATATTAGCAATCACAGTGGAGAAAGAATCACATGTAAGTATATGAAAGTTAAGTGAAATTAAACATGCACAAAATCACAAGGCATAGGGGCCTCAATAAAAAGTGCAAATATTACAAAGTTCTCACATTGCCTGCACCCAGAAATTGGTAAACTTTGAGTCACATATGATCCCTGTCGGTCTGATGAAGGCAGAAAGATGTTTTGAAAAAAGAATTCAGAAAGGAATAACACTGCTTTGGGCTTCAGAAGAGGAAGTTGGTAGCAAGGGAGTATAACACGTGGCATTCCCAATATTCCATTTGTTAATAATCCTATTTTATTCTTTTTCTTCCTAGTTGTAAGTTTTAATGCTAATAAATGAAACACCAGCATCTGATCTTAAAAACTGTAGGCCCACCTAACTTGGGGGAAAAAAAAGAGAGAGAGGAAGGGGTGGGGGGAGAGAAAAGAAAAACAAACCTCCAGCAATATCAGAAGAAAATGGTAACTTTTCTCTATATCTTCACATAAAGGTAGATTTCAACATCATAATACTGTCCTTAAAAATGGTATTTCTGGTGAAGCAGCCTCAAACACACCCAGTCTCAAACTGTTGCTATGTCTTGTGAAAGAAAACTTTAACATTTATAAAATCCATAATTCTGATTGATCATCTCTCTTAATGATATATTCCTCAGAAATTGTATTTACATTTGACACCTTTGTTTTTTAAAGGAATAAATATTTGTGGGCTTTATATTTATTTAACTTCTTTCTTTTTCAGATGCATGCAAGTCAAATAAATAAAAGCCTTGCTCCTACTTACTTTCTTATCAAGAAAAAAAATGATAGGAAAATTGGAATTTTCAAAGTTATACATCTATTCCTCAAACTTTAGCCTTGTATGTTGCACACACTATACCCAGAACATCTTCAAAAGGCAATGCTTACCAAAACTACCAGGAGACTTTTCTTCATAAGTAAAATGAAGTTGTAACTCCTCATCTGACATTTCACAGATGAACACTTTCAGCAAACAACAAATAATAAACAAAGCGTTATGTGTCTGCCAAATGAAGATGTGACTAGAAAGGAAAGACCAAAAATCATGTAAGAATGATGAGCATGATTATTTCTAGTCAATAATTTCTTCATAATTTGTCAATCATTTTGCCCAGCCTACCTGTAATATTCGATCAATGTCCATATCTTTTAGTGGCTCATTATTACATTGGACCAGTGATACTTACTGCATTCATATTTTACTCTGTGTATCTCCTATAGTGAGTCTACTTATAATAATAACTTCATTGATTCCTGTGGACTGTGTTCTTAACTTTACAGTTTTCCTATATAAAGGTAATTAAAAGCAAAAAAAAAAAAAAAAAAAACTAAAAACTCCAAAAAAATTATGATAAAATAATCAGTATGGGCTGGGGTTGTGGCTCAGAGGTACAGTGCTCACCTAGCATATGTGAGGCACTGGGTTCGATTCTCAGCACCACATAAAAATAAAAAAGGTATTGTGTCCACCTCCAACTTAATAAATAATAAGCAAGCAGTATATGCCAATATATAACTGAAATTTTAAATGAGGCATCAGCAGTGGCTCAGTATAATGCTTGCTATTTGTACTGATGACCACGAACTCACAAAAAAGGGATTATATTGGGCTGGGGTTGTGGCTCAGTGGCAGAGCAGTTGCCTAGCATGTGTGAGGCACTAGGTTCGATTCTCAGCACCACATATCAATAAATAAAATAAACATCCATTGACAACTAAAAAAAATTTTTTTAAAAAGGGATTATATTTCTAAAGTTTGTCCAAAATGCTGAAGTCAAAGTTTCCAGAATTTAAAACTTCATTCCAATGACTTATGACACTAACTTAAACCTCTCTTTCACCTTTTCTCCCCTTAATAATCAAAATAAATCCTTCAGAAGAATTTTCTGAAAACCACAGCCTAATTTCATCAATAAATGAAAAATAACATTCATATTATTAAGTGAAAAGCAAACATGATTTAATCAGCCAGCTTACTTCTGACATTCTGCTGAAAGTTTGAGTTCTTTGGTTCTAGAAAGGAAGACCTTAATTAGTGCACCAAGATTTCCTGTTCGAGGATTGTTTTCAACTGCAAGAGAAGAAAATGATTTAAAAAGTTAAAATCAAGCACTAATATCAAAGAGAACGTATAGTAATATCTATAAAATCAAATATCAAATTGAAATTGCTTATTGACCAACCTTATGCCAATTTCACATCAATTAGGGAAATAAGCAATGAGAAAAACTGCTTTCTTGGGTCATAATTCTGAACATCAAAGCTATGATTTGCAAAATAAAAATTAGGGGAAAAATAGAAGAAAGTGGCTACTTTACCTCAGAATCCAAAATTGTAACTTTGTAGTTAATAGATACATTCATGTACATTAAAATCACAGGGCATTTTATTAAAATACAAATTATGATTCCACATGTATGAAGTGTGACCTCAGAAGAATCTCTAACAGTCTCCCAGATGGTGCCCACTATTGCTGGCTGGAGAACTCCACTGTGAGGAGCAAGGTGCCCCATGTACTGCGAGTTAGGGGAGCTTCTGTCCAGCTTTCACAATCAAGAACAGATATGCAGTTAGATATCAGATATCACTAGAGTTTCAATTTGAAACAAAAATTTCCTAGTTTTCTTTCTAGTTTTGGGTGTAATTTAATTAAAAATACCTTGAGATTTTCAGGATGAACTGTTTAAAAAAAAAGTTAAGTATACAAATGTATTTCTGTGGGGTTTAATATTAGCTAGCTTCTGTAAATCAAAGTAAAATAACGAATCCAGGTGTGGTAGTACATGCCTATAATCCCAGCAACTTGGGAGGCTGAGGCAGGATGATCAAAAATTCAAGGCAGGGGCTGGGGATGTGGCTCAAGCCGTAGCGAGCTCGCCTGGCATGGGTGCGGCCTGGGTTCGATCCTCAGCACCACATATAAACAAAGATGCTGTGTCCGCTGATAACTAAAAAATAAATATTAAAATTCTCTCTCTCTCTCTCTCTTAAAAAAAAAAAAGTTCAAGGCAGTCTAGTCTCAGCAAGCTTCTTAGTGAGACTATGTCCCCGCCCCCCCCCCAAAAAAAAGTCTGGAGATGTAACTCAGTGGTAGAATTCCTCAGGGTTCAATCACTAGTGCCACAAAAATAAATAAATATTGAAAGAAACTAAACTGATGTGACTACTGACATTTAGAATCCCAATTTTAATCTTTGTTCAACAGTCCTTTTATAATGAATGACTTTATAAGTAATCAATTGAATTTGCAAATGGTTACCTATTTAAACACAAAATGAATGAAAACAATACTGTTGTTGTTGGAAGGAGCACCCAGGCTACTGGACTGCTGTAATTAAAGCTTCCCACCAGGGTGGTACAAGCCTGTAATCCTATCCACTAGGAGGCTTATCAGGAAGATGACAAATTCACAGCCAGCCTAAGCAACTCAGAGAGGGGCTATCTCAAAGAAATTGAAAAAAAACGAAATATACTGGCTCAATCCCCAGTACCACAAAATAAATAAATATATAAAATAAAGCTTTGTGTACCTTTTTCATTCATCATGTATTTACTTTACACCTGCATTATTTCAGGCACTACAGAGGCACCTGTAAACAGAACCCCCTGTCCTCGTGGAGCTTACATTCTAAAACAGGGGAGCTTCTGTCCAGCTTTCACAATCAAGAACAGAAATGCGGTTAAGATGTCAGATATCATTAGAGTTTCACTTAGAACAAAAATGTCCTAGTTTTCTTTCTAGCTTTGGGTGTAGTTTAATTGAAAATACCTTGAGATTTCAGGATGAACTGTTTGATAAAATTAAGATCAAAACTATAAATTAATAAAATTAAAGATGATCTCATTAATTAAATTAAATGAGTTTTTTAAAAATTATGTCTTATGGTAGATTCAAGATTCCAAAAGACTCCCATAGTACAAGGAATGGAATTTAACACCAGCAAAGTTAATTGATAAATATCAAATGTCATGGAAGCTGAAGGAGCTTCAAGAGCCAGAACAGCAACAGGGAACACCTGACAGGCAAGCAGAGCAGCAGGATGGGACCGACCAGATTGAAGATTCCGATAAAGCAAAGATCCTAGAATGAACAGTACCATTTATATAAAACTGTGTATATAAATCTAGTCCAGAGCTGGGCACAGTGGTGCACACCTGTAATCCCAGCGGCTCGGGAGGCTGAGGCAGGGGGATCCCCAGTTCAAAGCCAGCCTCAGCAAAAGCGAGGCACTAAGCAACTCAGTAAGACTGTGTCTCTAAATAAAATACAAAGTAGGGCAGGGAATGTGGCTCAGTGGTCAAGTGCCCTGAGTTCAATACCCAGTATCAAAAAATAAATAATTTTTAAAATGAATCAAATCTAGTACAGAGCACTACAAATAGCAGTGATCACCTCTGATAAATATGGAAAAATTTTTATTTTAGCTGTACCACTGTACTGTTGGAGTTATTGGCAATAAAAATTTATCTTTTATTTTCCTGTTCCTAGAGGTACTTTTAATGACATCCTTCCAATACAATGTCAAGAAAAAAATATACATTAAAAATAATAGTGGGAAGGTGCTAGGGTTGTAGCTCAGTGGTAGAGCACTTGCCTAGCACATGTGAGGCACTGGGTTTGAATCTCAGCACTGAATATAAATAAATAAATAAAGGTCCATTGACAACTAAAAACAATATTTAAAAAACAAAAAATAACAGTAGGGGGCTGGGGTTGTGGCTCAGTGATAGAGCACATCCCTGGCACGCATGAGGCACTGGGTTCGATCCTAAGTACCACATAGAAATAAATAAAAATAAAACAAAGGTAAATAATAATAACTGTGTGTGTGTGTGTGTGTGTGTGTGAGAGATGATGATAATGATACACATATTTGGTGTGTTTGTCACCGTGTATCTGCTGAGTCAATATTACTTCCAATGTTTAAATGCAAGCTTTATAAAAAAAAAAAAAAAAAAAAAAAACAAGTTCACCTTAAAGCCACCATCATAATGACTGCACTGACACCACTGTGATATAAAACTCTATAATTTTCAGCATTAAACTGCCACATGATTTTTGAGAGCCAGCTCTAGATAGAATAAAATTCTGTAATCTATGTTTTAATTGAAGTCATATACAACAACAGATCTCTATCATTACTAACATAATGTTTCCAAATACAAAAATATTTCATCAAAGACCGTTACTAGTAATGTAGCTGATATGAGAGTTGCCCATACAACTCATATGCTTATCAACAAATCTGATCTGGTCTGGTCTGGTCTGGTTTGGTTTTGTTATGCTGAGGATTGAACTTAGATGCTTTACCACTGAACTGTATCCTTACCCTTTTTTATTTTTTATTTTGAGACAGGGTCTCACTAAGTTGCTGAGGCTAGACTCAAACTTGCAATCTTCCTATCTTAGCTGGGATTATGGCTGTGTGCCACCATGCCTGGCAACATGGCTTGATTTTATAACAGATATTAATATCACTTTAAAGATCCTTATACTGGATATTTTATAAACACATTCTCTCTCATTTTCAAAGCAATGATGCACAGTAATTACAGTTATTTGCATTTTAAACCCACATTTTTAAAAAGCATACACATTCCATTCTAATTACTAGAAGGTAAAGCATTTGAAAAAATGAGGCCAAAAAAGGAAATAGCTGTTGACATAAAACTGTATAACAACTAGATACCATGTGCTATACTGGATATTTCATGTTATATCATTTTTATCCTTTCAACAATCTTGTAAAATAATTGTTCTTAACCTCAACTTTGATGAGGAAATGAAGGTTCAACTAATAAGTAGCAGAGCAGAAATAAAGATCATAAAAGTATTCTTGATCTCATGCTTTCTACCTTAATATCAAGCTATTATGGAGAAACTTCCTAATATACTTTTGTGAGTAATAATTATTCTGGTTAACATAGTAACAATAGCACATGCAGTCAGGGCAGGTGGCAAATCACAGGATGAATGGTGAATTCTATATGAACTGTCCATTACTAACCTAATATTTTGATTTTTCTCTGTATTTCAATATTTACAAATAGAACAAGCTGAAAGAGTACCTATAGCTTAGCACAATCTATTACTACCACTACAAATATAGCTCAGTGCGTGTTAACTGAATGGAATCTTATGTTAACATCCATAAGTAGTATGAACAGAAATAATTATTACTTATTTCATTATCAAGATACATCACTTCATTAATCCAATTCATATAATACTGACAAAATCTGTAACAGAAAATTTTTAAAAAGTCCCCTACACACATGCATGCCTGCACACACTCGTGCACCACACAAACACACACATACACACCTTCTCCCTTACCTAAAGCCTTGCAGACTGAAATGGTTGCCTCCTCCAAGAGCTTCAACTCAGAACTGGAAAGACAAAATAAGAAAGGTACTTTACCACTACAATACCAAATACATATATACTCGTCAGTTAAAGGAATATACAAATAAGAAAAAAAATAAATTTTTTAAAATATTGTACACAAGGTAAACAATAAAATGAGAAATATAAAATAAAACTTTAAGCTGAGAGTGACTGCTAATCCCAGCTACATGGAAGGCTAAAGCATGAGGACTGGAAGTTCAAAGTCAGCCTCAGCAACATAGAAAGACCCTAAATAACTTAGTGAGACCCTGTCTCTGAATAAATTACTTTTTAAAAAAGGCTGCAGATGTGGCTCAGTGGTTGAGCACCCCTGGGTTCAATCCCAAGTACAAAAAAATAATAATAATAAAGATATATCCAGATCAAACCAACAATAAAAAGTCAATCCATGGAACAGATAAAAGTATTTGCAAATCATATTATGATAAGGCTTTGATATCCAAAATTACTTGAAAAACTCCTACAACTCAACAACAACAATAAAAACCACCTAACTAAAAAAGAGGCAAAGGTCTCAAATAGCCATTTTTCTAAAGAAGATGTACAAATGACCAATAAGCAACTGAAAAGATGTTCAATGTCACTAATTATTCCAGAAATGCAAATTAAAACCACAGTGACAACCAACTGTATGTTTATAATCTTTACCCCATTAGGATGACTACTATCAAGAAAAGAAAAGGAAGCCAGGCAGGGTGGCACATGCCTATAATCCCAATGGCTTGGGAGGCTGAGCAAGAGTTCAAAGCCAGCATCAACAGCTTAGCAAGGCACTAAGCAACTCAGTGAGACCCTGTCTCTAAATAAAATACAAAATAGGGCTGGGGATGTGGCTAACTGTTCCTGAATACAATCCTTGGTACCCCACCCCAAAAAATAAATAAAAAATAAATACGGAGGGGAGGGGAAGGGAAGGGAAGGGAAGGGAGGGAAAGGGAGGGGAAGGGAGGGGAGGGGACGGGAGGGGAGGAAAGGAACAAGTCTGAACAAAGATGTGGAAAAATGGACTGGTGTGCTGCTAATAAGCATGTAAAATGATGCATCCACTGTTGAAAACATATGAAGGTTCAAAGAGTTCAAAATTAAAAAGAAAATAGGATTTCCACCTGATCCAGCAATTCCCACTTGTACACCCATGTTCACAGAAGTATTACTGATAAGAGCCAAACGGTAGAAGCAACTCAACTGTCCACTAAATAATAGATGAATAAAGAAAATACAGCACATACATACAATGGAGTATTCTCTGACTTAACAATAAGGAAATTCAGACATATGCTATAGTATGGATGAACTTTGACAACGTTATGCTAAGTGAAATAAGGTAGTCACAAAAAGATAAAATTGTATGATTCCTCCTATATACAGTACTTAGCTGACAAATTTATAGAAAAAATTAGAAAGTGGTTGCCAGGAGCTGGGGAGAAGGATAATGGGGAGTTTGTTTTAAATTACTACAGAATTTCCAACAGAGAACATGGAAAAGTTCTAGAGATGGAAGGTGGTCATGATTACAAGAGACGGAGCATGTACTCAATGCCACAGAACTGTACATTTGAAGTTATCTAAAATGACAAATTTTTCTTGTATTTCAATTCCATATTTTTAAAAGGTCCATTCTCACACCAGTTTACTTACCAGATAAGTGACCCTGGACTAATTTCCTAACTTCAATATCATAGCTTCTTCATATATAAGAGATACTAGTACCTTTATAAACTTGATTCTATGGTTAAATTATAAAATACCTATAAAGCACTCATAACATTTCCTAGCACAAAGTAAACTCTCAGTAAATAATAGCTATTATTGGCTCCAAAATGTAGTGGCCTTTTTCTCCCTAATTAAAGTAATGCCTTCTATTTATAGAACCTATAAATGTCTTTCAAAGCATTTTTCAAATTTATCAGTGCATTTAAATCCCATGAAAATCTCTTCTAGTGAACAGGACCATTATAAGCCCAATTTCTTATAAATAAGCAAACTGAGGTTTCCAGAGAGGATTAGTGAGAGTACAGGAATGAGAAGTCTGAGAAGAGGCAACAGTTTCCAGCCTGGACACCTGGTTAATCTCATGCCCTTTTCTGCCAACACAGGTAATACAGAAACTTCTCCAGGTGAGCAACTCTACTGTAGCTGGTTTTAAAATCCCTACCTGCCTCCCCAAGAGTTCTCTGCTGATAGTGATGAAGGGCATTTTTTAAAAGAGTGATCTTTTAGCATTAAGGCTTTTTACAAAGAAATTTTAGAGAAACTGAGGAAGAAAACCGAATGCTTTGAGACAGTTCTAAAACTATCCAGTATAGTAACTACTAGCTACAAGTAGTTACTCACCACTTCAAATGTGGATATTCCAATTAAAATGTGTTGGAACATACCATATTGCAAATATTTTTTTAAATGGAAAATATTTCATTCATAATTTTATATTAGTAAAATCATAATATTTGGGATATACTGGATTAAATACATCATTCAAATTAATTTTATCTATTTCATTTCGCTTTTTCAGTGTGGCTACTAGAAATTTTAAATCACATGGATGGCTCCCCTTAGATTCATATTGAACAGATTGCTAGACCCTACTTCTCAAAAACTGAAGACGTATCATATATAGGAAATATCACCAGGGCTGGGAATGTAGCTGTGGTAGAGCACTTGCCTGTAGGCAACAAAGCCCTGGGGTCCATCCCCAGTACCACAAAAAAAAAAAAAAGAAAGAAGAAATGTTACCACATACAGAAAACTAAGACCCAACGACATGTGAATATGCCAGTACCTTAAAAATCTCAACTTACATTCATATTAGAAAGGGTGAATATGATTTTGAAGAGTTAAATCTTTCAGGTTCATATGAAATTGATTCAGGGAGCAAGATAAACTAGAAATGATCTCACAGTTGTTTATAGGTCTCCAGTATTTGCCATTCTATAGATGTTTTCAGAGTGCCTGCCAGCCCCACAATGTCTCTCTGCTGTCTGTCTGCCTTACACCTTTTTTTTTATCTACCTCCCCACCGACTATTTAGAGATGAGCAGAAGCAGGTGTGTCAGCATGACCCCCACCTCTGGCCATAGCTGCTGACTGAATCAGGGTCTGACAGGCAACCTGAGCCAAGCCTGAAGTTCTGGGGAATTTGGAATTGAGATGGAAAAACAGGCTTTCCATATGGCTGGAACTTGGCTGCAAAACTGAGCATTATGAGAGGCCACCCTCTCCCCACTGAGAAACAGAAAGCCAGTTCACAAGAAAGATGAATAAAAGAGCTTTGCCGAAAAAAACAAACAGAAAGGACTCTTGGGATTCCTGCGGGCCTTCCAATTCTCAGTTCCAGTTCTTCCTGAAGCCTGGCTGTGTTCCTAATCTTGGAATCTGTGAAATGCCCCTGTCTCTTCATCACATATTCCCCTCTTTGTCACACAGTCTAAGTCAAACTGATTTTTGTTAATATCAAAAGACTTCTAATTAATTTAAAACTGCGGTCAAATTTTAAAATACACATTAGTATTTAATTAACAGAAATTGGGAACCATGAATTACTCAGTGTTTTGGTTACTCAGGCAAAAAGTAAAGAGGCATAAAATGCAAAGGACTGTAAAGAGTTTTATGAGGTTAATAACTAGGCCACATGCATAAAATCTGTTTCACTAGTGCTTTTACATTTTTCAGTAAAATGACACTCTCTTTTATAACTGGCTAGAACCAAGAGCTTCAATTATATACATGACCATAACCTTCAGAAGTTATTAAATCTGGTTCATTCAACAAACTCTGACTAGGCACCAAAGGTATGCTGGGCTCTGTGAAAAGATCCCTTTGCCTACAAATTATATGGAGGAATGAAGAAGCCAGACTGCTTGGTGCAGGACAAGTAAAAAATTAAGACCAGCCTTGTGTGTGAGCTCACAGGATGTGTACCCAAACTCCCCTGGGTGGAATCAAGGAAGAAGGAACATCTGTCCTAAAGAACCTACAGAAGTGAGACAAGGGTTATGGCAGTCACAGAGACCCTGGCACATTCTGAGACCTGAAGGTCAATCAACATGGGAATGGCAAACTATTAAGCTGGGAAAGTATGCCTGATGGCTGGAATATGGAGTTCAGTGCCTCAACTTCCTTTCAATAGCAAGTTGCTAGGTGTTCCCAAAACAGGGTTTTGATTTATCTGTAATATAATATTAGCCTTTAAAAAGGAATTAAGTCCAACATTTAAGATTGGTATGGACATTACTTTTTCCAAGAAACCTTCTTGATCACCAGGTGAGACAGGTAAGAAAAGCCCCCAATCATAAAACTGAGCCCACAGTAGTAAGATGGCCCAATTGCTTGTCTGTGAGCTCCTTGTTCATCACAGCACTCTCAGACTGGTACAAAGCAGGCACTTAATAAAAATTTACTAAATGAATAAGTGCCACTGTCAGGCACTTCCTTGGCAGAGGACAAAACTATTTCCCCTTGCTCCTGAAGAAACACTTCCTACTTTCCAGCCCTCGAGGCAAGCTCTGACCTCAGGTTTAAATTTTTATTAAAATATTTTAAAAGATGTTTTTTCCAAGTGTAAAAGAAAGTGTCTTTTTGAAGCAGTCTGATTTCTTGGAAAGCTCCCCCTTGTGTCAAGCCAGCCAGCACCTGCCTTGCGTGATGAGGCCCCCCAGATCTGGCTCCCCCTGCATGTGGCCACCACTGCTCCCTGCCTCAGCAATCACCACTTCCTGGAGAAAACATCTTCAGTGCCTAGATTATATTCTCTATGGGAACAAGGAAAGTGCTTCAGTCACTCGTACATCGCCTACTATGCCTGGCTTGGCCAAAATAAAAACTCCTGGTAGTTATCTGTTCATTAAAGGATTCACAGGGCTCTATCTGTTGTAGTACTCCTGCAATTTCTGCACTCTGAAGTGTTATTTATTTCTACAAAGGAAATCAGCCAGGCACATCCCTGCCAAAACCAACACACTGATTGTTATAATAGAATTTCTTT